AATTACGAGTGGTGGTCAGTCTATCTGAGCAGACTATTGCAATTCAGTTCAACCACCTCACCTCATTGGTTTCTCACAGCATTTCATCTCCCGTCTCTCCAGTTGTCCTTCAGCTTATTGTCTCATCTCATTATTCTCCTCTTCTCCAGGAGTCCGAACTGCTGTCATTGGCTCGCTCTCTGCTTCAGGCCTGGGCCGACCCCCTGGTCGTCCTGTCCACCTCTGCTAACACCCTGCCTCACCCAGCCCAGAGCACCATCTCCAACAAGATCCAGGAGCTGCAGGAGCACACCAAGAGCCTGGGAGACGGCCTGGATATCCTGTCTGGAAAGGTGTGTAAGCACGGAAAGACCATAGACTGTATAGAATAACAACACGGTCTAACTCCGAAGTCATCAAGAACCAGCACTTCGTCATACACTGATGAAAAATCTGCGCTGTCACAAATACTGGGCTGCAAAGGGGTCCGTGCAGACCCTGTGTAAAGAGTTACGTAACTCACAAAGCAATAGCTACACTTATACTCTGTGGTTACACCACGGTTATGTTACTTAACCAACGTGGTCACTGTGGTAAAGACTAGGCACTAAAAGCAGCCACGCCGTTAACAATGCAGAACTTCCCAGTTGGCACCGGACGTCAGAAAGACGTTGGACTCTTAGGTCAGACAGACATTAAATTTTAGCTGGGTTTTATTCTCCATACCTTACGACTAAAGGTCATGATTCTACATCAAAATGATGTCGGCATGAGACATCTGGAAGACAATGGATTTTGGGTCACGTAACAACACAACTTAAAACCAACAAAATATCAACGTCATTCATCGTCAGTGTTCTTCAAATTAACGTTGGCGTTAGATGTGCAATTGAAATTCACCCAACGTCACAACCTAAATTCAAGCAGATATTGACTTTTAACAACATTCGTGGACAGCTGGGTTAGCCTTAAAGGGATAGTGCACCCAAAAATGAAAATTCAGCCATTATCTACTCACCCATATGTCGAGGGAGGCTCAGGTGAAGTTTTAGAGTCCTCACATCACTTGCAGAGATCCAAGGGGAGAGGAGGTAGCAACACAACTCCACCTAATGGAGGCTGACGGCGCCCCAGATTCAAACGTCCAAAAACACATCATTGAAACCACAAAATATCTCCATACTGCTCGTCCGTAGTGATCCAAGTGTCCAAATGAGGTTTTTCCAAACAACTTTTTATGTCGGGGCTTCAGGACACTTGGATTTTTCATTTCGGGGTGCACTATCCCTTTAACATTTAAACAGGTGAGTTATATATAAATTCAGCCTCTGTACAGTCGTCATGAATGTTGAAATTAGCTACAGAGACTAAACTGGTTTTTTTGTACCAGGCTGTAAACATGTTTATTTCTGCTGTAAGTTTTAACATGGGGGTCTATGGGGACTGACTCAATCTTGGAGCCAGCCTCTAGTGGCCACTAGAGAAACTGCAGTTTTTGTCACTTCCACACTCAGCCTGTTTTCCTGCTTGGGGAAGACAAGTCTTTGTTTTTTGCATGTACAGTATTGTCCTTAAAAACATGAATATAAAGTGTGCTCATCTCCACCTCCCCGCCTCCTTTCTCTCCCAGATGGGTCCAGCGGCTCAGCTCATCTCCTCACTGCCCTACAGAGGAGGCAACGACATCGGCCAGGACAGGATCTCCAAATTGGTCAACTTCAACTTCCTGTTGTCCTGCTTCCGCCGCGACTCACACAAGATCGACAGCTTCCTGAAAGTCCTACGCTGCCGGGCAGCAAAACTGAGACCGGAGATGTGCTAAAAAGTGACGCAGCTCGCTTGGTTTTTCTCACAGCTTGCATTGTCTATCAACTGTAGATTAGCACGTTAGCAATCTGCGATCTGAGCTGATATTCTAATTACTGAGTAGCTGGCATTATGAGCCTTCGGGAGGTGAAGATGAGGAGGAGTTACATGACACACAAGAGATAATGAAGTGACACCTGTTGGTCATCATGGGGCACAACACAATCCTCAGTGTGAATCTATTGATGCAAAAATATAATTAAATTTTAGCTCTTGTTGATTTTGAAACAGTTGCCTCGTAAATTTGCAAACGGGGCAAAAAAAACAGCTTCCTCAAAGGTCAAAGGTTAAAACACAACTGTTATCTAGTCTGGCTAATGTGGACAAAACAGCTCACACACTTCCCCAGATGTTTCCAGCTGGTCTGGCGTTATGATCTGACCATACGTGGTCACAAACTGGTGTGTCATCGCTCCTGTGACTCCTTCTCGTCTTCTTCTTCTACTAAAGCTTTCTGTACTCGCAGCAGCAGCAGCAGCAGCAGGTGTGCTCTATGAAACGCTTCACACTTCACACTTACAGACGCTTACAGTGAAGTATAACTCTCTCTTCCTAACTGACGCTTGACTGATGACACACTGCAGCATTTGCACTTTAGATTAAACTTTCTTGAAAGAATTTTGAATGTGATTCTTATCAATCTAAATATTTCTTTGAAGTCTGCATCTCAATAAAAATAATCTCTTGCACAGTGAAAGTCTTCGTCTGTCTCTTGTGAGCCCACCAACTTTAGGAAAAATCAATATTTAATCATGAGCCACCCATTAACTACTGATCATGTGTTAAAGTGAACATAAGTGAACATTTTTCCGTTGAAAAGATTGTACTTGCACATACATGTTACAGCAGTAAGCACAAGTTGTGTTATTTTTGGCAGCACAGACTGTATAGTCCCATCTTTATGTCATTTTATATGAAACATGTAGACCACATGTCACCCACTCAATATGACTTTGGAGAAATACGTCAAACACCGATCAGTATCGTCTCTCTTTTGACCCACAACTGAACAAATGATCAGAATTATAAAACAAATTTGGAATTTTGACACGTTGATGTTGTAGCCACATTTTAGCTGGTTGAAAAGAGGTCTTAGACATTAGACTGAATATTAACTTGTTTTCCACCAGAATTCAACGTTGAAATACCAGTTGGAGCTCACTGGGATGTGTCTTTGGTTGTGCTAACTCAAGTGGTTACCACTGACAATGACATATGTTACATGAGACTGTCATGCCACCGAAGGTAAGCTAGCGTCTACATCTTTCCACCGACTTTCTCAACTGTACAAAAATTTGTACAAAAAAGGGGTAAAAAAATTCATTTAACTGACCCTTTGCTAAGCCCCGCCCCTTTGTTTTGAGCCATTGATGGTCAGTCAAACTGTTGGAGTGAGCACAGAGCCCGCTATCACTAACTGCACTGCACGACAAAATACAATCTAATAAAGATAAAAAAGACTGTCTAGTTCACTCAGTGTAAAAGTCCATGGTGCAGACAAACAGTCCAAGAATGAGATCTGACCATTATTATTATTATTACTGTTAATAATACATGGATAAACCAATGCGTTTTGACTGGAGAGTCTTCATCAGGGTGTCGATGACTGTGTCAAAGACTGTCTGCGCAATTCTAAACTTATCACAGGGAGTAGCTGTCATGCCCTAAAAAATAGGTGCTTGGGAACACATGCGCGCCATGATGTTTGAGTGCGGCTGCTGCACTTCTACATTGAAAACATTTAATTTAAGGACAACAAAAACACAGCATGTGTACGACCCCTTATTGTTTATATGAGTTCATTTATGCTGTATGCACAGACCCTTTTAGGGCCAACATCTAAATGAAGTCAGTTTGTTAGCTAGACAATTTATTCAATTAAAAAAAAAAAAAGAAAATCAATTAACATTTTTTTCTGACATTTTATTAGTACTAGTCCATAGCCATTGGTAGCTTTGTCACCTTCTACCTATGCTAATCCTCAATGCCTATGTGCAGTTTCACATAGATTGACCACGTCAGTGAGTAGAAAAACGTGGGACAGACAGAATGACTGACTGACAGAATGACACACTGACAATTTTTCTGTTGTTATAGCGCCACCCAGTTGCCAATTAGAGTTAAATTTCTCCAGTCACCTTGAGGCGTCCTGTTCTACATATCTACCAAGTTTAGTAAAAATCCATATGGCGGTTAGGCCTAGATAAGAAATGAGCTCTCTAGCGCCCCCATTTTGTTTGATGGGCTCAATAATGGAGGGGTCCCCTCAGATTATGTGTGGTCATATGCCTACAAAGTTGCGTGGTGATGGGTGAAACCCTTGAGATGTTATACACCTTTATGTGATGAGCCACGCCCTCCGCAATATTCATTGCCTTATAGAAGCTCAGTTTTAGTAAGTTTTCCAACTTTTGCCAAGAGGGAACTTTAGATATTGGTCCCTAGATTATGTTCACCCAGTTTCATGCAGATCGCTCAAACTTCCTAGGAAGAGATCCATTTGAAGTGTTTTTCAAAAAATTCAAAATGGCGGAAAATCTATATAAGCGGAAGTTATGGGTTCTTGAGGCAAATGTGTTCCTCATGAGGAGAGGCTTCTCTGTGCAAAGTTTCATGTCTCTACGACATACGGGGCATGAGATATGCCCATTCACAGTTTGACATTTCAATGGGTTGCTATAGCGCCCCCCTTTGGCCAATTGATGTAATATTGCTTCATTGGCATCCTCCCATGACCCTCTACCCCTGTGCCAAATTTCACATGGATTGACCAAGTCAGTGAGGAGAAAAACGTAGAACACACACACACACACACACACACACACACACACAGAGTTTTCATCATTATATAGTCAGATATTTCAGACTTTAAAAAAGTCTGAATCGGACATTTTAACTTTTTTTTATGCTTTATCAACCTTTTTTTCTGACATTTTATTACTATATTTCAGATATTTCATTAACATTTATTTGGACATTTCATTAATTTTTTTTCTTCCAGATTTTATAAACCTTTTTCAGACATTTTATTAAATATTTTTGGACATTTATTTCACTTTTTTTCAGACATTTTATCAACATTTATTTCTGACATTTTATAAACAATTTTTTGGTGGTAATAATTTCAGGTGGTAATTGTTTATGTAATGTTCTCTGGCTAAGAATCATGATAACATCCGCCCCCCCTGGTTGGGAACCACTGACCCGGGCCCCTCTGTGAGGCCTGACCGGCCCTGTGTGAGGGTTTATCCGTCACAACACTCAGCTCAGCTCTCAGTGCTGAGCCGCGCTGGAGGCGCACGGAGAGCAGAGCAGTAAACCGACACCTGTCCGCCACATTTACCTCCTCCTCTTCCTCCTCTTCCTCCTCCCTCCGGTCTGAGCCTGCAGGAGATCAACATTCCTCCATATCTCCGGTTATGAAGAACAAACACAGCCAACAGGTGAAGACAGCGGCTCCGGAGCGACTCGACATGCCGAGCTTCGAGGTGACTCTCCAACAACTCAACGACCTGCTGACGGACGACAGCGGCTTCTACAGCTGGCCCACCAAACACTTCCATGAGGTCTACCCACGGATCTACGTCGGAAACGCGTGAGTCCATCTCATATTGTTAACACAGAGATATTACAGACATGACAGTGAACATGTCGCCCTGTGATTTAGGCCATGCAGCAGGAACCGTCTCACTGAGACTCAGTTTGTCTCTGACCGAAATGAAAACAATGAACCCAAACTCCATAATCCCAAATTATCATATTAGCCTGCATGTTATTAATGCTGGTTTGACAGGACAGCTGCTGCACAACGATGTGTCTGATTATGGTTATTAATATATTATAACACAAAGCAGTGAGGGAATCATTGAAGGTATCATTTAAGTGCACTGTGTCTGTAAACAATAATGTTATATAATCACATATCCTAGAATAATAAGGACTGACTGATGAACCCTCATTATGCTCTTTATGATGAGTCCTGTGAATATAGGTTATATATGTAGATGCAGTCTGAGGATGTGCAGCAGCAGCAGAACATGCAGTGAGTCTTGTTTCAGACAGAAGCTTGTTGAATTTTTGAAGAGATGGAGGGATGTTAGAAAATGGTAAAATAGAGCAGAGACAGGAGGAGGCAGAGATGGAGGATCCAAAAATAGCTCTGCTGATTAACCTCTTCGTGCCCTGTTGATTTAAAATGTCCCCACATGCTCCACATTTCAATATCTGCAGTTAACACGAGGGGAGGCAGTCTGGGACGACTTAGGACAGATCAGAGACGCTGGGACTCAGGTCAGAACATACATCTTTAAACATCGCTCTGTGAGGGCATTTTGGATTTTAGCAGTTATCTTATAAAATCTTATAAAACCCCTTATTCCTGACATTTAGTAGTATTTTTTTGGTTTTTTTACATTTCAGTAACATTTCTTTCAGACAATTATTAACAAGTTTTCCAACATTTTATCAACCCCTTTTTTTTGGACATTTTATTAAAATTCTTTAAGACATTTAATTAACATTTTTTACCGACACTTTCCGAACATTTTTTCTGATATTTTAATAGTATTTTTTCAACATTTTATCAACATCTTTTGGACATTTTAATGACGTTTTTTTTAACATTTTATCAACAACTTTTGGTGGTCATATTTTGTTGAAACTGACCTTCAGTTAGTGGCTGTAGCAACTCTAATTCAGCCAGTGCAAACCCCAGTGCAGGGGGTCACAGGGGGGTGGTGGCCAGGAGCAGAACTGGATCTAACCTGTGTAATGGCAGCAACAGAAAGTTTGCTGATCAGGCAGATATATTTTTTTCCCCCAGACATTTCCTTTACATTTTTTTCAAACATTTTATCAACACTTTTTTTTGACATTTTAGTAGTAATTTTTTTTAAACATTTTTTTTTTGACATTTTAATGATATGTTTTGGACATTTTATCAACATTTTTTTGACATTTTATCAGCATTTTTTTTGACATTTTAATGATATGTTTTGGACATTTTATCAACATTTTTTTTGACATTTTAATGACATGTTTTGGACATTTTATCAAATTTTTTTTGACATTTTAATGATATGTTTTGGACATTTTATCAACTTTTTTTTTGACATTTTAATGATATGTTTTGGACATTTTATCAACTTTTTTGACTTTTTTTGACATTTTAATGATATGTTTTTGACATTTTAATGATATGTTTTGGACATTTTATCAACATTTTTTTGACATTTTAATGATATGTTTTGGACATTTTAATGATATGTTTTGGACATTTTAATGATATGTTTTTGACATTTTATCAACATTTTTTGACATTTTAATGATATGTTTTGAAAATGTTATCAACATTTTTTTGACATTTTAATGACATGTTTTGGACATTTTATCAACTTTTTTGACATTTTAATGATATGTTTTGGACATTTTATCAACATTTCTTTTGGACATTTTTTTGACATTTTAATGACATGTTTTGGACATTTTATCAACTTTTTTTGGCTTTTTTTATGTTTTATCAACATTTTTTTTGACATTTTAATGATATGTTTTGGAAATGTTATCACCATTTTTTTGACATTTTAATGATATGTTTTGGACATTTTATCAACTTTTTTGACATTTTAATGATATGTTTTGGACATTTTATCAACATTTCTTTTGGACATTTTTTGGACATTTTAATGATATGTTTTGGACATTTTATCAACTTTTTTTGGACATTTTAATGATATGTTTTGGACATTTTATCGACACTTTTTTGACGTTTTAATGATATGTGTTGGACATTTTATCAACATTTTTTTTGACGTTTTAATGATACGTTTTGGACATTTTATCAACATTTTTTTTTACATTTTTTGGACATTTTATCAACATTTCTTTGGACATTTTATCAACCATTTTTCGTTGTCATATTTTGCTGAAACTGACCTTCTGTTAGTGGCTGTAGCAACTCTAATTCAGCCATTGCAAACCCCAGCAGGTGGGGTCACAGTGGGCTGGTGACCAGCAGCAGAGCCAGGTCTAACCTGTGTAATGGCAGCAACAGAAAGTTTGCTGATCAGGCGGGGAGTGAGGCACTGGATAATGTAATGTTTGGAAAAGCTTGAGAGCACGTACAGCATTCCCTAAATGAGTTATTAGCAGGAGAAACTTGTTCATGATGCAGATTATTGCATAAAAAAGATAAAAGTCGATCACAGCTCTTCAACATCTTCAGTATGTTGAGCTAAAAGAGTCGCCCTCTGTATGTTCCAGGCTTTCAATCAAATGCATGTTGTAAATATTAAATGTTCAGATCTAAAAGCTTTAAAAGTGAAACTCTTAGATGGGCTGTTTTGTCCAGCACAGTGAGTCATGGCTGTATATTTCAGGAGAGTGCCTCTTTTATTCCACCGGCCTGCTCTCCTGAAGGAGCCATAATGGACGGAGCAGAAACACTTGTGTCTGTTATGTCGGATCAAGTGTCCTCACACCGACGGGCCGGAACACCCAAATGCATCGGCATAGCTCTGTGAAGCCTGGTGAAGAGAGCACGCATCGTTCTCTCTGAGCTGAGGCTTTTTATTTTGATGTATCTGTCCTGGTTCCACGGTCTGAGAGCCTGGCAGACTTTTTTTTTTTTTTTTTTGTGGAGGCGTGATGTTGCATTCAGTATTCGCTCGAGTTATTTTTAGCTCCCCACATCTAAAAGGCGGGAGGTGCCAAGTGGTACAGCAATCCCAGAGGTTCACAGTGAGAAGCAGCAGAGTGCAGTGCGTCTGTCTGACAGAGAAAAGGAAAAGGGAAAAGAATAGATAAGGATTTAAAACCAAAACTAAAATCTAAAAGCATGAAGCTGGTGTCTGTGGTGTCATGAAATGGATGCAGGAAGATTAAGAACATTTGTGCAGATACCCTTCTCCAAAACACTGCTTTCATTTCATCAGAGACTGCTACCACAGATAGCCAGTTAGCTTGTTTAAGAGCATCGGCTATGCCAAATCGGAATTTAGTCACCTTTTTTGGCCAAGTGTGTGAACACATACAAAGACAGTGATGGCAACAGCCATGGCGGAAGAACTATGTTTGTGGGTTGTCCATCTGTTCATCTGTCCCATTCTCAAGAACATGATATCTCAAGAACACCTAAAAGGAATATCTTCAAATGGGGCACAAACATCCACTTGGACTCAACAAGTAGAATTTGGTGATTAAAGGTCAAGGTTACTGTGACCTTGCATCCCTCTCATTCTCGTGAATGTGATATCTCAAGAAGGCCCTCAGGAAATTCTTCAATTTGGCACAAACATTCACTCAGATTTAACAATGAACTGATTAGAATTTGGTGATCAAAAGTCAGGGTCACTTTGATCTTGCATCTGTCTCATTCTCATAAATGTAACATTTGGGAATTTGGGAAAAAAAGACCACTTCAAAGGTCACTGTGACCTTGCAATCTCATTCTCGTCAATGCAATATCTCAAGAAGGCCTTTGGGGAATTTTGTCAATTTGGCACAAATATCCACTTGAAATCAAGAATTATCTAATTATAATTTTGTGGTCGAAGGTCCAGGTCACTGTGATCTTGCATCTGTGTCATTCTTGTGAATGCAATATCTCAAGAAGGCTTTCAGGAAATTCCCTCAATTTGGCACAAACGTTCACTTGGACTCAGCAGTCAACTAATTCAACTCATCTTGCATCTGTCACTTTCTCGTGCAGGTGATATCTCAAGAAGGCCAAAAGGGAATCTCCTCAATTTGGCACAAATGTCCTCTTGAACTCAAGAATCAAATGATTAAAAAGTGGTGATCAAAGTTAACTGTCACCTTGCATCTGTCTCATTCTTGCGGAGACATTATCTCACAAACATCTTTGGAGTTTCCTCAAATTTTACAAAACAATGTCCAAAGGACACTGTGACCTTGCATCCGTCTCATTCTCGTGAATGTGACATTTCAAGAAGACTTTGAATTTCTCTCAAATTTGGCACAAACATCCACTTTTAGTCAAAGGTGAACTGACCAGAATTTGGCGGTCAGAGATCAAAGTACAAAGTCACTGTGACCTTATCCATTACATTCTCATGAATGTGATATCTCAAGAACACCTGGAGCGAATTTCTTCAAATTTGGCACAAACATCCTCTTGGACTCATCAATGACCTGATTAGAATTTGGTGGTGACCTGTGACTGTGACCTCAAAATTCAAGTTTTTGGCCATAACTTTAAGAATTCATGGACTAATTACGACACACCTTCACACACATGTCTAACAGGATCAAATAAAAGGTGTTTATAGAAATATATGTAAAAAACACTGATTACCAACAATCTGCAGGAGTTCGTTAAATTATGACCCCTGAAAATGGCCAAAAATGCACCAGAATTACACATTTAATTCAAAATGGCTGACTTCCTGTTTAGGGTATGGCTCCTGACACTTTTTGCACGTCTTGGGACTTAACATGTGCCTAGAAACTTTGTACATGTAAGTGAAAGCAGCTGTAGGTGCTGCTTTGTAGAAATTTTATAGGGGGGGGCGCTACTGAGCCATTTTTTTGCGCCCGAGCATGAGACCCTTAAAATATCAAATCTTTCACCAGTTGTGGTATGTGTGCAATGCTTCATGACTTTTTGAGAACCTTTAGGCCTTCAAAAATGAGATTTATTTGGAGGAAAAAGAAGAAGAAAAATGACATTTCATTGAAATGGCATTTCAACAGGGTCCTCGCACCGAGAAATTAAAACTTGGATACAAGCTGGTGAAATAAACTCTGTGTCGTGTATTTGTTTTGTTTACCAATCTGTTGCAGGTTTGTGGCGATGAATGTGATGCGTCTCAAGCGTCAAGGCATCACCCACATCCTCAACGCCGCTGAAGGGAACTCCTTCATGCACGTCAACACCAATGCCGAGTTCTACGCCGACTCAGGCATCATCTACCACGGCATACCAGCCAGCGACACCGACCACTTTGACATCAGCGTTTACTTTGAAGAGGCGGCAGACTTCATCGGGAAGGCGCTGGCATACAAAAATGGGAAAGGTCAGAGGATGACAGGGCCGAGGACAGAACGTCAAGTAACCCTAACGATACTGTACTTTATCTGTATCCTGCGAAGCACGTTTTGAATATGTTTGGTGTTCATATTTATATGTTGTTCAAATGGAACTCGTTTTCAGAACATAGGAAGTTGCGAGCACGATCTGGTGAACTCTAAGCTCTCGTACAATTTCCACCTACAATGCTGTGAATAAGAACTCAAACGTAACATCTCAGATAACGATGTTGTGAACTTGGTCAAACGTGAACAGTTGCTTTTCTCTTCCTCTGCAGGTAAAGTGTACGTTCACTGCAGGGAAGGCTACAGCCGCTCGCCCACCTTGGTCATAGCCTACCTGATGCTTCGCCAAAACATGGACGTCCACACCGCTCTGGCCATGGTGCGGCAGAAAAGAGAGATCGGACCCAACGACGGCTTCCTGCGGCAGCTCTGTCGGCTGAACCAGAGGCTCGCTGCTGAGGGGAAGTTCTGGAACAAATGAAGCGGACAGACTGTCGACGTGAGAGAACAACAGTACGCCTAATTGCACATCACTTTCTTTCACTTGTTCTACAGCTTTAATGAGCCGCAGATCTGTGAGGGGGTGATCTGGAAGTGAGGACAGTCAAAGAAAGTCTGTCTCAAACAAAGGCTGACAGCACTGAGTGTATTGTATCGTACAAGATTACACATCTTACACAACCTTTTAACACACACATACATACAGTATTTTAATTGTGCTCAAACACTGGTGATACATGTGCTGCTCATACAATGTAATGTGTATGTGCAGGTGCACTGCATTCACTGTAGTCTGAATATTACATTTATCTTCAGGTAAGAGTGACAGTAAATAATCAGTCAGCATTGTAGTCATGTCCTGTACTGTCTGGTGTCGTCCTGCTGCTCACTTCTCCAGAGAACTATATAAACATGTAGAGGAATTTAAATGTGGGAGCTGGTGAAAAACTAGATGGTGTAACTGATGTGATCCCGTCACCGCCTTCTGTCATCGTCTCCATCTCTCGTCCTGTCTTGGCTTTGTGCCCTCTGTCTTGTCTCACTCCTGCACACACTGCCAAATCTTTGTCCCAGCCGCTACCAGAGGGGATGTCAAGTGGACACTGTGATTTCTCATATTGAATCAGATATCAGGGTATAATATTTAAATAAATGTGTTTAATACGCTTGAGAGAACTGCACAGTCTGCGTCTAAAAGCCTCAGAGGTACGTCACAGTGCAAAATATGTCCGGTGTCTTGTTGGTGCTTTGTAGGAATTCTTGACACGATCTCATGCTGCAGAATAATTAAATTTTTATAGTAAAATAAAGTTGATCTGATGTTAGCGGACCAGCAATAGAACAAAGGAATGGTTTGGCATTTTGGTATAGACCAGGGGTCGGCAACCTTTACGATTACAAGAGCCATTTTTGGCCAAAAATGGATGTATGGAGCCGTAAAGCATATTTGATAATGAAGGGATCCAAATTACCCGATTGCCTCACAGCAAGAGGGTTCGAACTCTAGGGTGGGGGAGCCCCTCTGTGTGGAGTTTGCATGTTCTCCCCGTGTCAGCGTGGGTTTCCTCCAGGTGCTCCAGCTTCCTCCCACAGTCCAAAGACATGCAGGTTAATTGGTGACTCTAAATTGTCCGTAGGTGTGAATGTGAGTGTGAATGGTTGTCTGTCTCTATGGCCCTTTTTAAACAGGAGTTGTGCAAATTTGCAGGAAAGCCCAATCAGTGTTTTTTCAGCATTGGCAGTATAAAAACAAAATCGGGGAGTGCAGCAAAATGCCGCCTGCCTACTTTTGTTTATACAGAATGTGCCTTTTTCAGGGCAATGGGGGGCGTGAGCAAGTAACAAAACGTGTAGCTCAGCGTGTGACGTAAACAGTGATGTGGGAGGGAAGCCGCGGCTGGTCAGTCCTTCGGCGATTCTCTCGTAAGTCGGCCCGTCCTTCACCGTCCCCGTCATCTGACGGTTAATGGCCTCTTCGTTTGCGAGGACAAGGAGGGCGCACAATTCCTTGTCTCCCCAGTTGCTCATCTTTACAGTGTCTGTCAGGTTTGTGTTTCCCTCTTGCTACTAGCTGCTCGCTAATTCCTGCTATCAGCTGTTTCCTGTTTATCCACCGCCAGTGGCTCGCACGTGCAGCGTCATCAACAGCTCCCCCCACAAGTCATCAACAGCTCCCCCCACAAGTCATCAACAGCTCCCCCCACAAGTCATCAACAGCTCCTCCCACAAGTCATCAACAGCTCCTCCCACAAGTCATCAACAGCTCCTCCCGTTGCAGAAGGCCGCCTCGGTCTGTTTAAACTAAAAGGGTTCCACCAATATGTCTACCCTACGAGGCGGAAAATTGGGCACCTCGGATCAACTCGCCAATCCGGCTCTGTGTGTCTAAACGCTCACAGCTTGCCGGCAAAATGGCCCAACATTCGCCAAAAATCTGGCAGTGTAAAAGGGGCTTTTGTGTCAGCCCTGTGACAGTTTGGTGACCTGTCCAGGGTGAACTCTGCCTCTCACCCAGTGTCAGCTGGGATAGGCTCCACCCCCCTGTGACCCCCAACAGGATAAGCGGTTATGGAAAATGAATGACGAGTCACCGCCATTGAGGTTTGGCAAAATTAAAAGGAAAAGGCGCCAGGTCGTTGACGTGTGACGCACATTTTAGTTGAAGAAATGTTAGAACATTTTTTTAGTTTGTGTTTGTGTGAAATCACTTTAGACCGAGAACAATGACGATTTTTGTGACAAACCCACAGGGAGCCACTGTAGAGAGGATGAAGAGCCACATGTGGCTCCGGGGCCGCAGGTTGCCGACCCTTGGTATAGACCGCATCATCATGATGTCACATTAACAACAGCACCTTACTTTCAGGTAGAAAACTGGCAATTGATTTAAATTGCAGAGATAAATGAAATCTGCAAACTTGTTTATTTCTGTATTTCAACTGTAGTGTTTAAAGATAAATAGTTAAACACCAGTGGTCCGACCTGATTTTGCTCAATTTTGTTTATGTACTGTGTTGCTTTGCCATCGTCTCTGATAAACCATGTCTGACATCAGCAGCATAGAAGTGAAGCAATGTACTGCTGTGGACGGGTGCCACAGCAAAATGTATTTTAGCCACCTAAAACCTATAAAAGTCAGTATCAGTTTAAGTTAACGCTGTATGTACCTTACACACCAACTGATTGTCATAGAGGTTGACCAGCAACTCCCGTGTTCTGCAAAGTAAAATTACTGTTAATGTCAATTTTGATGCAGGGCTTTTCTGTCCGGACGTTATTGTAAACAAATGTTGTGATTCGGTCTGTTCACTTTCTTGCCGAGAGTCAGTTAAGAAGATTATCACTGTTACGTCTGTGTGGTAAATATGTCGCTAACAACAACATTGTTTTCTAGTTGGAGCTGCGCCTCGTTTTCAAACTGTATGGTTTGACTAAAATGAACAATGACAGCAATATAGTCCACGATGAGCAGCGCTAAAATCAACCTGCGTAGTTGTCCCTCCATTGTGACATTAGAAAGTGTCACATTTATCTTGCAAGTGTACTCTTCTTCAACGTTTGCTTTACTTCCTGGATTTTTCCCACATGGAAATTCTGACCAATCAAGAGCAGCTTTCTCACACAAGGCATTTGATCTGGTCCTCTTGTAAATGCTGCCGTGAGAACACGAACCAACTCTAGGCAATTATACAACTTTGGAACAACATGAGTCCCTGATTCAGACCAGAGGAGACCACTCTAGGGCTGACAGCAGCCTTAATGTCAGTATTGGAGCCAGTGCAACGAGCAAAGTAGCTACGTGGCAGTGAGTTATCACAAAACCCGCCAAATTCTTATGCAAAATCCAAATCCTCATAAAAATAATGTGTTGGAGGACTGTTGGAAATTTTACGCTAATTCCTGCTTTTAGTTTCCAGCTGTGATAAATAGTATAATTTTGGCGATTTTTAAAGAAAGCATGACGTTCAAACCCACCAGGGGGATCTGATGTTGAGCCAGTGCTTAAAAAATTACTTGATAACTTACCCCTGTTTTGCACCGCCCCCTCATGAGTAACGAACATTCGCTGGAAGCTAACTGTCTGCTGGCGCTAGATTCATATTTATGTATTAACCTTCTCGTGTACAGTAACTCTCGGCAAGAACGCGAATCATGTCTCAAAACGTCGAACTATTCCTTTATTGTCATCTTTGGAAAATGATGTGTCACATTTTCAGATCAAACTCTTGAAAACCAGTGACGCCACTGAAACCTCTGATTGTAATGTAAACACTGCCAGAATGTGTGAAACATTAACAGGAACTTAAACGTCATTGGAAAACATCTCAGTCAACACCTTTTGCACATTAGTGTGTTTACATGTGTGTGTTTTATATTGTATAGCAGCATGCTTTGTAATATACCTGTGAGCCGAAATGGTGTTTATATTCCCTTGTTAACACAGATATGTAAATATATATTTATTGTGTGTAACTGTGTGTGCATTATGTGTCACAATGTGCATTATTATAACTTGTGAATCATCGTGTGCATTACTGAGTAGGATGTGATGTCATCGGTCATGTCAGTAGGCTGTCATCGAGTCTCACAGTTTAACTGCTGTTATGAAGTGCACTTTATCTAATGACACTGGTGATTGTTGTTGCTCTCTTTTCATATGTTGAGTAATAAACTGAAAATGACAAGAGTTTCTTGTTTGATTACTGAGGTGACGCTCGGCACACGCTGAGTTCCAGAGGAAATAAGTGGATTGTTTTCCTGTCTGAAATGATTCCTCTAAACGGTCGTTAACTTCTGTAACTCTAAAGATTTAACGCTTAGTCTGCCGTTTAAAGGCAGGGGCTCAGTTTTCAGGCTCACTGTATATACTGCAACAGGCAGCCAGCAGGTAATGTCTTACTGTTTTGTATTTTTAGATCTGTTTTTACAGCAAAATTTAGTTGAAGACATATAAGGGCAAAAACACAGAATTAACAAACAAAATACCTTCACCTTCTGCAACTTAAAGTCATGACCTCAACTAAAGTCAAAATCTAAGGAGTCAGTGTCGCGCTCAGCTCGGCTCGTTATCTTTAAGGGAGCATTTAGCAGTTTATATTTCCCATGACTAGATTTAGCTGCTGTCTCAAGGATGACAAACTAAATTACAGTGATATTAGTTTATGATAATGGATATATACTCACCTGCCACTTTATTAGGTACACCTTGCTGGTACCAGGTTGGACCCCCTTTTTAATTCTTGGTGTCACAGACTCAACAAGGTGCTGGAAACATTCCTCAGAGATGTTGGTCCATATTGACATGATGACATCACACAGTTGATCCATGATGAGATTCTCCCGTTCCAGCACATCCCAAAGGTGCTCTATTGGACTGAGATTTGGTGACTGTGGAGGCCATTGGAGTACAGTGAACTCATTGTCATGTTTGAGATGATGTGAGCTTTGTGACATGGTGCGTTATCCTGCTGGAAGTAGCCATCAGAAGATGGGTACACTGTGGTCATAAAGGGATGGACACGCTCAGCAACAATACTCAGGTAGGCTGTGGTGTTTAAACCATGCTCAGTTGGTACTAAGAAAATCTCCCCCACACCATTACACCAGCAGCAGCAGCAGCCTGAAGCGTTGATACAAGGCAGGATGGATCCATGTTTCCATCTGAATGTGGTTTTTCCAATCTTCTATTGTCCAGTTTTGGTGAATTGTAGCCTCAGTTTCCTGTTGTTAGCTGACAGGAGTGGCACCTGGTGTGGTCTTCTGCTGCTGTAGCCCATCTGCTTCAAGGTTGGACAAGGTGTTCAGAGATAGTATAGTCTTCATCAGGTCTTTTAGTTTTCAGAGTGCTAGGCAGCTGTTTAGAGGAGCCCATGGCTGCTGATTGTTGGGACAAGCTTTCAGGAGTCAGTTGAAATGATCATCACCTGTCCTTTCCTAACGATGACCGTGAAGAAGCTCATTAAGGTCTCAGACCCTGGGAAAGTTCTCTGAGAGCTCAAATGTCTTGAGGTGCCCTTTTTTCACTCTAGAATTGTACAAAACAAAATCACTATCTAGTTACTGCTCGCACTGGCTTTATATGGCAGTGTAGCAGAAGTGAATAAAATGGTGGTTAGTCAGCACTTTGTCCTGTAGAGGGAGCTGTAGGACTGATATAGATGCACCAGCGCTGAGATCAGCTGGGTCACCAACTCACACTGTGCTTCAGTCAACATTACAATATAAATATTAGAGGCTTGTGCTGCTACAGCAGCTGTTCAGCATAATTATGTAACACTTTAATAAAACATACTGTTTTTATATTGAAGCAAACGGCTGAGTAGTGTGACACTGTGTTTTTGGACATAGTGTTCGCATACAGGATTTAAAGGGACAGTTCAACCGATTGTGCACATGAAGGTCAGTTTGTATAATGAGATCTTCAGGTTCTCTACACAATAATACACAGTTTGCATTACAAACTGAGGCACTGCTGGAACTTAGTGAGCGTGTTGAATTCTGGTCTACAACATAAAATACATCATTAAACACCTCACTGTGAAGGAAAAAGGCCGTTGCTACCAAGTGGCTAAATGAGACAGCGTCATGACG